ACACACACACACACACACACACACACACACACACACACACACACACACACACACACACAGGCTCACAGCTGATTAACATAATTAGCCTCCGCTGACCTTTTCTGGCTCAAGTTTTACATGTTGGTTAAAACACCACAGTGAAAATATGTTTTCAAAGTCTTAGTTGTATTGCACATTACAGATTAATAATAATGTGGTATAAGGCTTTCTTTGAAAGACAGTAATAATTAAGAATTATCAGTTATTTTTAATCATATCAGGGATGGGCAACTGGTGGCCCATGGGCCATATGTGGCCGGAGGTTGACTGTCGTTTGGCCCACCAAACCGGAGGTTGCTTTTTTAAAGCAATCAAAGCAACTATTAGGATCTAAGATCTACTTTAAGAGTGTTTTTATGTAATTTTTTTGTTATATGTTTAATATTATTTTGGAAGGTAGTCCATCTTTTCACAGAATTTTAGGCTAACCTCTGTGTTAAGTCTTCTTAGAGACRCYGTCTGCCATGAAGGATTTTAGYATAAGTCGCCACTACAACATGTTGCACAAAGCTAAATATAAGAAGTTTACTGAAGTTGTGAGTAAATAAACAGCGACTTTTTACGCAGGAGTCTGCACTAAAGGCGTCTTATGTCATTGCATTTCAGCTCGCTAAAGTAAGTGTTTATTTATATTTTCTTCAAATGTTTTATATTCTTATTTATTAAACAAGATTACAACAATTATACATATGTTTGAGCATGAAATATGTTAAATTACTGCACTGTGTACGTCCAATTGGTAGTATCGACAAAAAAATATATCCCTTTCCAATATTTAGGTTGCCCATCCCTGATCTAGATAATATTAAGCTGAAATCTATGATATAGCAAAACAATAAACTCATCATCATCATCATCATCATCATCATCATCATCATCATCATCATCATCATCATCATCATCAGAACCTGCTCAGTCGATAAAGCATCTCTCACCCTCATTTACTTTGTTTGAATATACAGCATCAGTATATCTCTTTTACTGCTTCATCCTCATTTGTTTKCTGTTTTCATATCCCAACACCTGCTCAGCTTCTGTGTGAGTGCATGGACATGTATTTGTTACCTTGTGGGGACCATTTTTGAGCACTTCTCTGGTACACACAGCTTTGTGAGGACACACTGCTCCTTATGGGGACCYGGTTCTCATGAGTTTAAATGCTGTTTTTGGTTGGGGATTTAGGCTTAGGACTAAGGTGTAAATTTAGGGTGGGTTAGGCTGTAGAAAGAACTGGAAATATAATGAAAGTCAATGCAAAGCCCCTATGAGGACGGAAGAACAAGTGTGTGTGTGTGTGTGTGTGTGTGTGTGTGTGTGTGTGTGTGTGTGTGTTGCTTGAACGTATGTCCTACTTTCAATCTCCACATCTGCGCAGATCAGGTGAGGTCAGTGGCTGCTGACAATTTTAGGCTCATCATTACGGGGCAGGTCATGTGACCTGCAAGCAGAGATTTGATTGGTTCAAAGGTTAGAAAGGCAGACTACTGGAGAATGAATCCTTCAGATGTGCATTGGCACATTTATTTCACCTCAAGTGTGACCACTCATCGGTTCTTAACATTCCCGAACAGCTACAGTTCTTCTTTTCTCACCTTCTAATTTAAATAACAGTCTGTTTATAGAGATGATTTCTTATGAAGGCCAGCTTTAAGCTGAACCGACATTAGCGGTGTGTGTGTGTGTCGGAGTCAGAGTGTACATGTGTGTTCATTAATCCTGATTACCTCCTGGTGTTGTAGTAACTTTCCTTTTATTGGTCAGTGTGTCAGGGAGTGAGGGATAATCCTTTTCTTCTCCTTATGTTTCAAAAGATCTCTATTTTTCCAAAGACCAGTTCACCTAAATTTACCAGAGGGTGAGATCGGTGTTATTATGTGTGTTTATTAATCTGTGTCTTCCCAGCATTTTAAACTTTTAGTGGATGAGATCCATGTGAAGGGAGAGGGCAAAGTGAAAAATGCAATGAAAGAATCTTTCAAGGTCCTGAACGAGGTTTGTCCACATTTTTCTTTTCCAACATTATAATGAGACCTTTTGATTGCATTAAATACTTGGAGCAAATACTAACTATTCAAACTAATGGTGTGTGTTGTCTTCAGGCTGCTACACTGGGACAGGGCAGCTTGTGTAACCAGGTCATCATGCTGATAACTGATGGCGCCATGGAGGACTTCAAGGATGTTTTCGAAGAGTTTAACTGGCCAGAACGGCGGGTACGACTCAAAAAAATGAAGAATAAATGGGAACMAACTCAAGCTTTAGTAATAAGTTTGATGTGTGGTTTTGTCTCCAGGTTCGGGTGTTCACTTACCTCATTGGACGTGAGATGACATTTGCTGAAAATGTGAAATGGATTGCCTGCAATAACAAAGGTAAATCCTTTTTAAATGAATAAACATTTAGGATCTAAGAAGGAAACTGCCTTGTGGATGTGATAAATAGAGCAATGACAACTTCAAACACAAGTACTTTCCTGTCCTTGGTTAGAAGGCAGGGGGTGTAAGTGATGCGACGTAAAATGCTATCAGCTGCTGCCCTCTTGTGACTTACATGGTCTCATGCAGCAGCCCATACCAGCYAGTAATCACTTTACTCTGCAACACAAACATAACAAGTATTTTTTTTTGTTTTGCATGTAACGTTCAGCACAAAACAAGTAGGAAACATAATTTGCTGAACGTTGTGTTGATATGTGTATCATTCAGGGTACTACACACACGTGTCGACACTGGCAGATGTGCAGGAAAATGTGATGGAGTACCTCCACGTTCTGAGCCGGCCGATGGTGATCAACCATGACCATGATATCATCTGGACAGAGGCATATATGGACAGTGTGGTCAGTCACTTACCCTCCTTCAGTCACTTTGTTTCTGATTAAGACTGTCTGTCCACTTTCCACTCTCATAGGATGTAAAATTCAAGTATTATTAAACCAAAATGATGTGAATGTGAAGATTACAAAATGCAGGGTAATGACAGGAAAAATATGAATAAAGTACAACTTTATTCTTCTATCCATGGAAACAATATTATAATTTAGAGCATTGGAAAAACATTTTCTTTTTACTTGTACTTATAATTTGTWACCAGTCAGGATTTATGTGAGGAAATCTATACGGAACCATGTTCCTGATTCACCTTAATAAAAACAAATTCATTTCAACCAGTTTTATATTTACTTTTTATTCTCCTTCTTGTTACAATCTCATCTGTTTGCTGTTTGTCTTTTTTCATTCTTCTTTTGTCACATTTTCATCTCATGCTTGTTTTCCCTTCCCTCCTTCACAACTTTTAGCTCCCCAATAAAGACGAGGTAACCATGTTCGGAGTTGAAGCTAAAAAGCTTCAGTAGTGTTATTTATTAGTTAAACCTGATAACTTTTAGTGGCCTTCGGTAGATTTTTTTCCTGTTTTGCTAATGTTAGCTTATCCTCACTCTAAAAAATGAAATGTTTGATTTCCTTTGCTTATTTTCTTTCAAAGTAAATGAGTAAATTGCTTTGAATTTACTCATTTAAGTGGAACCAGACAACATAATTTGGTTAAGGAAATTCAACATTCATTTTTAGACTGTCTTACAGCTGGAATGAGTTATACACTTTAAAGTATCATTTCTCCCACCAAAGTTTGGAAACAAACTAGCATTTTTAAGTAGGTTATTTTTTTGTTGTTGTTTCTTTACCTTTTTTTTTCTTGTTAGATGTCAGCTTATTTTGAACAACCTTTGTTTTGAACAAACTTTCTTTGTCTTTCTGGGTGTGTTTTCTGTGTCCGTGGTTCAGCTCTTCAACACTCAGGCACAGAGTTTGCTCCTGATGACATCAGTAGCCATGCCGGTTTTCAGCAAGAAGGAAGAGACTGTAAGTTCAGATTGTTTCACAAACCTTCCCTGGATCTCTGCATCCTCTTGGCTAAAGAGGAAGTTGATCATTTTGGCATTGATGACAAAGTGGGGGTGACATTTTTGCCCAATCCATGAGTGACTTTTTGCGTTGCATTATAACATTTTTCTGTAAAACATGTCATTAAATAGGAAATAAAAATGCAAACCAATTTTATACAGCATCAAAACTCTTTAGGAGGGAAACACTTCTACTTTAAATTAAACAAAATGACTGGGGGTTAAAGTTAAATTCTCTGCAGCATTGACATGTATAAGCCATGGCTCTGAACTCTGTTATTCTGTCACTAGTTATCACATGGGATTTTGCTGGGAGTGGTAGGAACAGATGTGGCCCTGAGAGAACTGATGAGATTGGCAACAAGATACAAGGTAAAACCTCAGCGACATACACTGATCAACCACAACATTAAAACCAGCAATTTTATAGGGTATTAGAACAAAATACAGTGGTTTGCAAAAGTATTCATACCCCTTGAACTTTTCCATATTTTGTCACATTACAACCACAAACATAAGTATATTTCACTGG